AATGTTTAAAGACTGCCTTTTTTCTTTCAATATCATCATTCGTACCGCTAGAATTACCAGCCTTTGTTGCTAGTAAATCTAGCCATGCTCTCTTCTTTGCTTCAACTTTCATACGTATCTCATCATCCCACCATAACGTATTATTTTTCCTTTCATTCTTCCTCTTACCAACACCACATACTTCGGTAGCTGCATCCACTAAACCTTTCTTGACATTTTGCCATAAATTCTGCAAGTCTAACTCCTTCGTACATAATTCATCCAAACCACTTATATTTTCTTTCAGTCTACATTTGAACTTGTTTTTCTCACCTTCATCTTGTAACCTTTCTGTTCTAATACGCTGTAACGCAGTGGTAGACACAGATGATCGATGGCGCCAACGCCTGAATAGACCATTAATTCGGCATAAAACCAAATAATGATCCGTTCCTACGTTAGAACCCCGGTAAACCCTTGTATCCACCACTGCGCCCCTCAATCTTTCATCCACAATTATGAAATCTATCATGCTTCTATCGTCACCTCTTTCCCAAGTATACATGTGAATCCTCTTGTGGCGAAAGCAAGTGTTCGTCACAAAAAGATTCTTTTCCATACATACGGTAAGGAGACTTTCACCATTCTCATTTATACTTTCATCACCAAACGTTCCCAATATCCTTTCATAACCAAGCCTCCTCACCCCAACCCTTCCATTAAAATCTCCTAGCATGATAATATTTTCATTTCCCTTACACTTCATTAACACCATCCTTACCATTTCCCAAAACTGCTCTCGGATATAAGTGGGCTTAGACATGTCTGGGGCGTAGACCCCTAACACAAACAACTTCTTTAAGTCCACTTTCATTCGTATCCATAGCAGTCTTGGGCTTACACATTCATACTCTTTCACACATTGGCCCATTCTTTCTGAAAGGATGATACCTACTCCCTGGCATGCCCGCTCGATCTCGTCCTCACCAGACCAGTATGCGGTATACATGCCATGTGTAGTGACATCCTTCCCCTTTCTTTTCGTCTCATTTACACATAACGCATCTATTCCTCTATCATACATCATATCGCGTACTTCATCCATTTTATCATTCATTGCCACATACATTCAACGTAGCCAGACGGGCCTCTGCAATCCACTTTTCGCCTCTCCGGGAGACAGAACGTGACGGGTGGCGAACCTCGTCGCCGGTTTTCCTCCCGGAGATTCTTCTCACCCCTACCCCATTAAAGGGGCGCCGGCAACTCGGGGCCATTTCCTATATATAGTTCCTCATGGTGCAAAAATATTGGTAGTATGTTTTACGCCGCTACCACGGCGTGGAGCCGAGTCTGTGGTATCGGATTGTCGCTCATTTAGCACCACCCGGGGGGACACGTGTAGGGTGGGCCTAGGAATAGGTGGTCATAGCCTACGGACGCGAGCGACTTATCCCCCCGAGCGACTTATCCCCCTGTAATGTAATGGTAAAATTGTAATTATTGTAATTGTATCGTGTGGTAACATCCTTGAATCTTTATAGCGGTAAGATGTTCTTGGTTACGTCTGACGAAATCTACCCATACCGAAGACAGGACCAAAATCTCGTAAAACATCTAGTATTGCGATCGCTAATCTGTCTGCCAAATGCATTAAATCAATGGCTAAATGTAGCGATTATATAAAATCCTCCACCATGGAAATGGACTCATATCCAACTGTGGACTATCATAGGTTTTTCTAATTGTTTCAAAAATTGTCGTGTATTCAACATTTTAATGTTCTATTTATAATATCTAATTTTTAATACTAAAAAAAACATTTATAAACTGCTACAATATTTCAAAAACAAACAAACAAAATATAGTTTTTTGAACAAAATAACTTACATAACATAAAAGTGTACAATAATTTTAACATAAAAAATTAATCAAACTAAAAACTTTAATTACCATACAATCCTATTCCCTGCGGATATATTATACATATTTTTGATGTACCATTGAAAGTAACTCTGCTCGATATCACATATATAGGATTACACAGCAGAAATTTCATTGTTGTAAATTAGGTAATTAAAAAAATTACATACCACAAAGCGATTTCTTGTTGAAAAACTGGAATCGTTAATTCGTTAAGTATGGAATCGAAAAATAAAAATACCTTACACACACTACTACATTTTTGCAAGGTTGTTGTTGCAAGTGCAAATCACACAAGTAAATTTTCATACGATACTACTTTTATTATATTGTGTCACAGACAATAATATTGGGTTTGTATTTTATATTAACAATTACTCATAAAATTTCGAACAAGTTTTGTTTGATACAAACGTTTCGTTCTTTTTAACTGCGAATTTTAGGTGTCCCAATTAAAAGTTACGATTGTATGACTTCAAATTAAAAAGTTAATGTGTTCGTTGTTTTTTTATTCCTAACGATATCTTTTGAAAGAATAACTTTGAAATTGAAACTTTCTTTAAAATCATAAAAAGTGTGAATCAAATGAATTTAGGTATCAATGAAAGATTAACTTTCATGCCTAAAATGTACAGTAACTTAAAATAATGTTTGGACTTATTGGAAATATGACCAGAAGTTACTTCACTACTTGGACTATGGTCATTTAATGGTGAACGTATTTAACTCATTGTGACAAAAACGTTACCTCAACACTACGACTTTCGCCTGCATCGTGGGGGCAGTTTACATACACAAAATTTCACGGGGACAAACATTTATTTGTAGCATTTACAATTATTTGTAAGCTATACAAATATTTGTTTCGTGTGGAATTCGAATCCGCGGCCCTTAGCGCTTGACTTATTGCTAAGCCACTGCGCCACGGATCTGGAATGGAAGGATTAATTACGCGCGCTCCATTTTTATCTATCACCACCCTAATTTAACGTATCGGACAAAAAAATTCTATATCAACCTTCAAGAGTGACAATACCATACAATACAATGTAGCCATCTTTGTTTGAAGATGGCTGCGAGTGTCAATGAACTGCAGTAGCAACTGACAACCAGGTGGATTTTCAGCCTCTTTGTCACTTATTTAGGTGCATAATCTCTAAAAATGAGGTTTTACTGTTAACTAATGGCACAGGTTTATAAACGTCATCATCATTAAAACGTATCAAAGTCCTCTGCTGCAAATAGGCCTCCCCCATAGATTGTCTCAAAGGATGGATATTTGTCATTAGTAATAATAGTAATATTCATTTATTTCTGACGACATTAATTAAACAATTTCGATTTTTTACACAAAATAGGCGCAAAGTAATGTGATAGAGGTAACGAACCTGTATTTCAGGTCATCAAGGTCTCCCACCCAGTTGACAAATACAAAAGTGTATAAGTTTGGAATATATATTTTAATAATACTAATGGTATATGTTATAACCTATTTGGTTATGGTAGTTATTATTATTTGAAAGTATTTAATGAATTTATCTTGATGGAACACGTGTTTTTGTTCGTGCATACTTGCGTGCGTGCGTGCATGCGTGCATGGATGCGTACATGTCGCACACCTAGATCTAAACAGCGATTAACTCTAAAAATCATTTTTTTTTTCAGAAAAGGTGATAAACTGATTACAGTGTCCCTGTGTCCCGCAGGAGTTTTCTGAATTGATCAAATCTTTTTAAATGCAAATAGAGGAAAGATGTCATAATGAATCACGTATTTTAATCATAATAATTGAGTCTGAGAATTAGAGTTTTTTATTTGGAGTTGAACCTGTGTTGGTGAATTAAGTTCCTAGTTGGCTCCCTTTTGAAGAGTCAATATTAATTTAAATATAGCAGCATTTAGAATTAATTCAATAAAAATCCAACTGATAGAGGGGTCAGTGACCAGCAGTAGGGGTATATTGGTTGATGACTTAGCAAGAAAACACTAAATTATGTAATCAAATCAAATATTTTTTTATTAATAATATACCTATACCTAATATTTTCTATAAAAAATACAGCCTCTTATGACCCTTAATTACCTAGTAGGTTCAAATAAAATTATCATAATAAAATAGTAACACAACATAAACATAATGAGGAACCTTCCCTTCCATGAAACGCTATTTTAAATACTCATCTAAAATCACATTTGACTTAATTAAGTATGACATTTCTCTATTAACAACAAAATAGCTAAACTACGCCTTTAAATACTAATAATGGCACTTTGATATCATCATTAACAACAACAATTTTGGTTTTTTACTATTTATCAGAAACATTTTTGGTGCATATATTCTTAGTAGGTAGTTAAGAATGCAAACACTTTAATAAGAATAAAGCAGTCAATTATCAGTATCACCCAAAACATATTTATAATAAACATCATAATAGGATTTCAGAATGACGTTCTTCTCAATAAATTCTTTTGTCTTTTTTTTTGCATCAGACAATGCAATTTTTTCAGTGTATGCATGTGTTAAACCAATTGAAAATAACGATTGATCTATAGCTATGGCCGATCCGGATCCTCTTACGCGAAGAATCCTCTTTCGCACACAAACTTTCTTAAACGTTTCCTCTGTAAATGATGTTTTATAGAAAAACGCTTCAGGGTGATCTTTTTTAACCCTAAGAACCTTTAAGTCATGCCACTTGACTTGATTTCTCTCTTCGTCTGTATTGAAATTTGTGCCCCACGTTTCTTGCAAAGTTTTAACATTATAAAACTTGTCATGCGTCATTTATACGACTGTGTAAGGTTTTACAGTCTTTTTTGCTGTACCAATCAACGTTTTATATTGCTCTGGTATATAGATTGGACCCGACTGCAACTATCTTTTAATTTGTTTCTCAATGACGCTATGAACGTTGTCACCTTCATTTTGTGAGTGTCCACGTACTAAAAACTTGTGAATAATAGACTTGACTCTTAACTTGTTGACAGCGTAGGCATAGGCATACAAGAGAAACTTATTTTTTTGTTGACCGCCTCAATTGTCCGAGTAGAAAATTATTTCAATTTCTTTATTAGGATTTTGGTCTACCTTAGCTTTAACTTTCTTTTGTCCTTAAATCGCTGATGCTAAAATTGAGACAGTTGATCCTGGATTTATAAAAAAATAGTGATATTTGTCCCTTTGGAATCTGCAAAACTGCCTTTAAGTCGTAAACTGCTACGATAGTACCATCGGCCCTACTTTTATCATTATCTTTCTCAGTTCTTGCCAAAACTTTTTCATTCTGATGCTGTTCATACTCTTGGCTTAAGTTGCGTTTTTCTTCTGAGTCTGAATTCTTATGCCTTTCGCACAGGATGCATTGATCTTTTTTTGGTACGAAAAAAGAAATGTTGAATTCAGTGTTGAATATCCTGTTGAATGTGGAAGACGTGGCAATAGCTAAACCATCCTTTTCACGAAGTTGTTTGTAATGTCTGTAGATATCCGCCAATGATTTCTTACTTGAAATATACTGTCTTTTCGTTTTAGCTCTCAAGTAGTGAGACTCAATCTTTAGAATAGAATTTATAAAATCAATAACGCTCTGTTTGATTTGTGGTTCAATTGTTAGTTGATGGCCGTGTTTCGTGTGACTCCTGATTCGGAGACTTTGGAAAGTGCCGTTTGTATAGCTTTATAACTCAGCCCGAGAGTCGATTTGAAAAACGGTTTGCAAACTCTAATTTTGGATACAGCAACCTCAAAATAAAACGCAGTGTTAAGTAAAGAGCTCTAAAATCTTTTGTGCTTGAGTATCGATATTTAGGTTTTATTTTTTGTGAGTATCGCACTATAAATTCTCTCTGCCTTTCAAGATTGCCGAGTCCCCAAAATGCATCAAAAAGCTGTTGCCTTGATATTTCATTGATCTTATCTTTACATTTTAACCGACATTTTTCTCCACAGGGGAGGCCGACTTTTCTCTCTGGCACTTGTAATTTTGATTTTGACATAGACTTGTAGGCTTTACCAGAATTTCTCAGCACTTTCGCGACTTTCGATTTCCACATCGTTAGTTTTCGTACCCTCTTTTTACCCTTTTTTCTCTTATAACGAGGTCTTGGGAATTAATTTCAGCTACCGTAGTATTTTGAGGGTCAAGCTGTAAATGCGCACTATCATCTTCGGTGTCTGATAAGCTATTAGAACGTGATGAGCTCTTAGAGTTACAACTGTTAATGCTGGATGAAGACAGCAATGAACCAAAAGGTACGATCTTAGATAGTGTCTTACTTTTATTATTCAATTGGAAATTGGGATCCTCATCTGAGTTATCAAAGTCACTTTGGTCACTTTGGATTGGTGAAATATAATAATTTGGTGTACTAGCCTGCTGTTGTTTATATGTGCTCGGAATAGATTTATCATCCACGGATAAGGCTGCATGAGTTTCGTTAGATGAATCTCTCTCCTTTTGTATTATTGGTTCAAACTCCTGTCTAGTATCTGGTTGGGTTAGCAAACTAGGGCTGATGTTTTCCTTGTCCCTTTCTTCAACCATGTTTACTAAAAACAGTCCACGGTATTAATTATTTTTCTGAAATAGTAAAAGAAAACAAATAAACCATCTAAAAAGCTCTAACATAAAAACTGTTCAGTAAAAACACAACAAACTGTGTAGTTACTAGGATAAAAATAAAATATTATTAAGATGAGCAGACTCCAATCGCCACTGGCAAAAAAGTTCAATTTCATTTGTTTTCTAAAGAAATATACGAGTTTAAAAAATGACTCAACAAAACAGGCTTAACTACAAATTCAAAAAATTTATAACAACATGGTAACAATTCAAAATAAAAACAAAAACATTGCCTACCTTACTATCAACACTGGTTCAACTCAAAATGTAGCTTTTATTTACTCAGCACTAACCATAAAAACAGCGACAACCCAAAATAATGTTAAGTCAAAACCTTTGTTTAACTCAAGAACACGAAATCAACTCAAAATAACTCTGATTTTGAGTTGATCGGGCACGTGCGTTCCGCATAAAATACTGGCTACAACTAGCGATATCCCTGTTTTAGTGGGGGAAAGCGGGGCTCGCTCGTTCAACAAAATGGGCTTTTAACGTTATCTAGCGTTGAGTAATGGAACTATTTTTGAATCTGTTTTATTGGGTGCTTGGTAGTGAGTTATTTAATTCGATGGAATGCGTAACTCAAAAATTAGATTTTTGAATTAGCTCTCTTTAGATCTAGGTGTGCGATGTGTGAATGCGTTCATGCGTGCGTACTTGATTGCTTGCGTGCGTGCGTGCGTGTGTGTGTGTGTGTGTGTGTGTGTGTGTGTGTGTGTGTGTGTGTGAGAGAGAGAGAGAGAGATTGATTGTGTGTGAATGCGCGCGCTCGTGCATGTTTAAGAACGAGCTTGCTTGTGCAAACGTTTCTAAATACATATAATGTACGAATAAAAATATCTCCCGTAGTCCCTTTGAAGTAACCATTCACGGACATATTTTTGGCCCTAATTTTAGGTAGGGCGTAGATATTAAGTTCTTTGTTAACTTTAATATACAGATATCCACCAAGATAGTAAAAAAATCACCTAGAAAAATAAGTTCAATGGTCATTAGTCGCCACGTTTGGCAGACAAATTTACTTTTTCAACTGTTGTCAGCTTAGATGAATGATTGGTCTCGAGACCAATCATTCATCTGTGGTTGTCAGGAAGATGCTGATGACTATCTTCCGTTTCAGTTTCACTCTGTTACCTCTTACGATACACTCTTACGCCGCCACTAAACGGCGTTGTTATACGTAATGAATGTAAATCGCTTAGCAGTATTACTAAGTTTGGGCAACACGGCTAATTCTATTAACTTCATCAAAAAGTTCTATAGTATATTATAGTACGAAAGTGATAACAAGCTTAATACTAGGATATCATTAACGATGGCTGCTGATACATTGCCGAGTTGCAATATGAATTGCTGGCTGACTTATTTTGTGACCGGGCTATGATTGAATTGGTTCTACATTTTATGTTCATTCAATTTACATTATAATAATTACTTAGTCCAAAAATTGGTCCACCGCTATACATGGACGCCTTGCATTATAGGGATGTCTCACTGAAGAAATGGAATATTTTTCAAGATTTTTACCTTAGTTACTTTAGTTAAATCAGGTGACTAAACCAAATTGGAGACTCAACTAATTTTTCGGTTGGAACTTTTTAAATATTTTAACAGAATAGTGGGATACACAGTAGTAGTAAGTACACAGTCCACCTCGGAAAAGCTATGGCCCATAGATATCTCCATTTATGTCGATTAAGAATCAAAATTCAGATGCGTCGTAACCCTAACGACTAAGCAGGAGTGCTTCGTTTGCAGTTAAAAGTGACTCCGGTTCTCTACTCTCACCATAAGAAACACAACAGCATTAATCTGATATTTGCGCTAGTATTCTACTCAAACGTGGTTCTTCCAGTTGAGCTGACCAATTCGTGCTAAAACCATATCATGCACACAGCTTCACACGTGTGATTTCTAGATCTTGACAACAGCGCCACCTACAGAGTCCAATTCGAATCTAAACCATCCAGGGATGTACTCAAACACACACAAAAATAAATCAAAATCAAAAAAGTTCTCATGTGATGATATTATTTCATGCATGTGATAGTTAATTTTTATTTACTTAACATTCCATTTGTTAACCAATTCACAGTTTAGAATAAAGTACTATAATTGAAGAACGTCCACCTACATATCTATAGATGTGAAATTAATGTGAATCGTACGTGCGGACTATCGTTTGTTAAGGTTATAGGTTACATTCAGTCCGGCTTTTGACCCAGCTCCGACCACATACTTATTGCGGACACGATTCTGCGTTTATGCCTACTAAAATTTTATTTTTGGATTTTGGAAGCAAACGTAAAATTTTATAAAAATTGTAGCACCGCACCCAAAAAACTTCTTTGGGTAAAATAACTCGTTTAAACTTTACTTTTAATCTGAGACTATCAATAAGCTATGTCTTGTAATAAGACGGTTATAGAGTAAGGACATACATAGACGTTAGACTGGTGTCAGTTGTTAGGCAGTCTGGCTTTTATTTATTTATGTTTTATTTATTTATTTATGTTAGTATATTTAATATATGTTTATGTATATTTATATTTACTTTTATATATTTATTCAGCACAACCATATGAGAATACTTTATAATTACCCATAAATAACAATAATCTTTATTGCATCCTTAAGATTAAGTAGACACGGTAACAAAAAAACTAACCTTATAATTAAATACTTCTACAATTATTATGAAGCACTCTCTGTTCCCTCCTCTCATAATTCGATGGGACGGTAAACCGACACGACCAGAGAGAGATCAGACGCAGGACCAACGTCCTTTACGTACTTTCCAAGGGTGATACACCATTGATTTATATATTACACTAGATCAGTAATAACCGCGCCAAAGCGATGCCACTGCACATATGGCTACAGCCTAGCTAACGTCAGTTCAGTGTTCAATGTGACGCCGACAGAGTTGAGCCGCGACAAAAAATGGTTAAATGCGTAGTGAAAGAATGCTATTCAAGGTCACAAAAACGTAATAAATCAAGCGGAATCACTTTCAACACATAATTTTTAGTTCTTGCTTTCATATAAACGTAAAAAACCTCAAATAATTAAATAAAATTATCGAATATTGCTATTTAGGTTCAATGTTGCAACTTTTCCGTATTTTTGATTATCCTACATTAATGGGAGACCATATAATTAATGGAGTAAGTCAATTTGTTACCTCTGATTTTAAATATTTTTCAAATTGTAACAATAACTACGTTTTAACTTTCATACAAAATAATGAATTATTCTTATTTTAGTTTATTCATGAATTATCTATTAAATATATTTTATTACCTATTTAATATTAATAATTTTATATTAATAATAATTTCATATAAATTTTATATTAATTATATTTTATTAAGTACCTATTTTATATTTTTTGATTTATTAGTACAATAAAAATACGTTTATTTCATCATTATGTTTACTTCTATTCATCTGATGAGCTTTGTATCCTTTTTTTCTAACGGGACGCAATAAAGATTTTAAAATAAAATATATTTTTTTAATATAAAAACAATTAACTGCAGCTTAATAAAACTCATTTTTTATTGCGTATTTTAGATAAAATTTCATATAGTGAGCCACACCAACCCGCCATTGCATGTTTGTGTGTCAATCTTTATCTAATCTTAGCGACGATATTGTTTTCGCAACTTGTGTATATGAGATAGATATATGTTTATTTAAAATTGTTATTAGTTTCAAAGCTACGTCGTCGCGTTTGGATAGTGATTACACTTTTTTCGACGCGCGGTAATGTGGTTTGCTCATTGATTTATACAACACTAGATCAGTAATAACCGCGCCAAAGCGTTGTCACTGCGCATATGGCCACAGCCATATGCCTAGCTAACGTCAGTTCAGTGTTCAATGTGACGCCGACTGAGTTGAGCCGCGACAAAAATGGTTAAATGCATAGTGAAAGAATGCTATTCAAGGTCACAAAAACGTATATAAATCAAGCGGAATCACTTTCAACACATAATTTTTAATTCTTGTTTTCATATAAACGTAAAAAACCTCAAATAATTAAATAAAATTATAGAATATTGCCATTTAGGGTCAATGTTGCCACTTTTCCGCATTTGTGATTATCCTACATTAATGGGAGACTATATAATTAATGGATTAAGTTAATTTGTTACCTCTGATTTTAAATATTTTAGAAATTATAATAATAACTACGTTTTAACTTTCATACAAAATAATTAATTATTCTTATTTTAGTTAATTCATGAATTATCTATTAAATATATTTTATTACCTATTTAATATTAATAATTTTATATTAATAATAATTATAATTTCATATAAATTTTATATTAATTATATTTTATTACCTATTTTATGTTGTTTGATTTATTAGTACCATAAAAATACGTTTTATTTCATCATTATGTTTACTTCTATTCATCTGATAAGCTTTGTATCCTTTTTCTCTAAGGGGACGTAAAAAGACTTTAAAATAAAATATAATTTTTTAATATAAAAAAATTATGTGCAGCTTTAAAAAAACTCATTTTTATTGCGTATTTTAGATAAAATTTCATATAGTAAGCCACACCAACCCGCCATTGCATGTTTGTGTGTCTATCTTTATCTAATCTTAGCGACGATATTGTTTTCGCAACTTGTGTAAGTGAGATAGATATATGTTTACTTAAAATTGTTATTAGTTTCAAAGCTACGTCGTCGCGTTTGGATAGTGGTTACACTTTTTTCGACGCGCGGTAATGTGGTTTGCTCCTCTAGTGGCTCAATGGTTTGCTCCTCTAGTGTTGTATAACTCAATGTAATCACCGCCAACTTCCTGACTCCGAGCAGCAACTACAAATTTCTTGACGGAAAAACTAAATAATTAAATTTTGGCCCGACCCGGGATTCGAACCTGGTACCTCATGATTAGC